TTTAGTAGTTAATACTTCAGTGTTAATCTCTGTCTTAGAAACTCATAACATACCTAGCAAATTGTGCGTACTTACAATTAAAATATCACAAAAAAGCCAACGTAGAGACACAAATTATATTCTTAGCTCAAAGTTTGATTATAAATGAATTAACTCTAATATTAAAATTAAAAAAACAGTTTTGRTTTTGCTAAACATACATTTACTATGCTGCGCTGATTTTGAGAGGAAATACAATAATTTATGCACTGATTTCCTTTAAAAAATATTATGTTTAATTTTAGAATGAATAGGCCTTTTACCAAGCTGATAAGTAATAATATTATCTTYTAATAATTTATGTCTATTAAAACTTCGATTTTAAAGACAGTTATGAACATTTGAATGTACAAACAATTTACTATTTTGAAATGCTTATAACTTGCTTTAAAATTAAAATAACATGTCATCGACTAGAAATATTTTTATTTCTAAGCTTGAAATGGTAATTTCGCTCTTAAATTAAACAAAACAGAGTTAAAAATACTATTCATAACGTACAATTTACTGCGTTATACGTTTGTAAGKTGGAAAAAGCGCCTGCTTGCTTTATAGTGTCCCGCAAGGCGTTCTCTTAAATTTAAAACGTTCCTAGTTATTGAAAAGAAATTTTATAATATTATTACGACGCTTATTAGTAKCTATTCAGGCATTTTATTAACTTAAGGTCGGGTTGGAGTGGGGTATAAGACTGGTACATGAAACTTTTAGAAGAACTTCATCCTCTCAAGAATATACTCTGTTCAGCTAGAGAACACATCTTGCGCTGACAAAAACTGGTTTCCTCACGTGGTCAACACTCAGAATAGATATAAAAACAATATTATCAACGTCCCACCATAAGGGAAACGGTTCCAATAGCCGGATGACGCGAGGGTCGGGGGATTAACAGAATCGGTGTGCTTACTCGCTGATAGAATATATATAGTTTATACATCCTTGATTTCCCCTAGATATGGACAGCTGCAGCCTAATGTCTATAATAGAATTACATAGAAAAATAATTATTTACTTGTCTAGTATTGGAACGGCTACGTGTTTGAAAATTGAACTCTGTGTTGTATTTTCATCGAATACTTTTTCAAATCTAATTTAAAATAAATAATATAATTAAAATAAAATAATTATAGTCTATTTTATACGTTKTACCAGAGGCCTTCAACTATTTTACTAGGTATATGTCCCATATAATTCTTAGCGTAAATTAARAAATAACATTATATTACTTATATTGCATTTAAAAAAAAAAAAACTAGTAACAAAATAAATATGATCATGGTCCTCAAATATAAATGAAATAGGTTGGGCCGTGGATTGAAAGACTCTATTATAATATTATGTGATATATAATTTTACCTAAATTCTTCCTTTTTTTTGTGCATAAAACACAAAATATCTGGTTTTTTTTCATTTTTGATTTCATACTGCGAATTTAAAAATACGGATTAGATATTATACATAATAAAAAGTTACAATATTAGCATACCTCAACAAGTTTTCCATTTTTAATAACTAATGGCTTAAGTCGGCAGAAAACTTGTATAGCTTTTGTCTTGACCATCTTTATTTTTCAATCGTAATGAAAAGTAATTACTAATTATAACAATTATGCTGTAGCAAGAGTATATTTTTAAATACATGYAATAATAATAATTATTTTTGTATACAATAATATATAATATTATGATTTGCTGTTAAAACTAAACAATTCGGTTGCTAAGCAAAACATTTATATTTGTCAAATGTTCAAATGATAACACCAACTGTTTAATATTATTTAGCCATCAAATAAAGTAAAAACCGTTTATATTAATTGTTTTTGAAATTATCATATTTGTTTATTAGTATTTAAAGAATTCCGCAAAATCGGTGGCCCGTGAAAAGTTTCAAGATTTTTAATGTGGCTTTATAAAAATATTAATAGGGGATCCTTATAGGTCAGGAGTGACAAATTATTTGAACGCTACGTGCCAAAAATTACCTCTTAGTTTTTCGAGTATACCATTGAAAAATATTATACATTATATATTTTAATTTTTTGATGCGCTCAAATGTCATTTCACGTGCCACCTCCAGCATGGGTACCATGGATTTGCCATCCCTGCTATAGATAATATAACATATTATATGCACTTTTTATCCTATACGGGCAAATATTTGTTTTTATATATTATTTATTACCAGTTTTAAATTATTTCTTAATTTAACCAATTTTGACACATGCAAACAACTTTAAGTATCAGCGCCGAGCCAAACATGAGAACAAGGTTATTAACAAGGTAATTATATTTTAGTTTTAACTACAAACTTTGTTTAACTTAATACGTGTTATAGTAATAAGTACGGTACTTGCTGAACGTTTTCAAATTCGCTACTTCTATATATTTTATTTTATTTATCATTTGTGTCGAAATACGAGATATTCTTCAGCTACACAAATTTGGTTAAGCTTCGTTCACACGCCAGACAAGTTTTGGAAAAAAAATATAATTACGGCTTACGTATAATGAACGATAAAACCTCCTTGTAACGGAGAATCGTTTGATGTCATAACTGATTTTCATAATAGAGAGACTCATAAGATGTCCTTATTTATAACGAAGTTTTGCAGTAATTTTCTATTATAGGTAAAAAATGTGTTGAAGAATAAATATATAATKTAGTAAAAAAAAATTACTACTGTGGTCCTTGAAGTTTTGGAATATGTTTTAATTTTAATTTAGWCCAAGTGCGGTTTGTAATTTTTGAGACCAGTATCTTTGAATCTGTATTTACTACCAAAACTATTAAAATTTGTTATTATATCAAATTAATATCATTTAGGCCGAAACAAAGCTCGGCAATTTAAKTGAATGGTACGATTAAAATATTCATAAATCGTTAATTTATTATAAAAGAAAATTTTGATTAAAATAGTTCCAAATAATAATTTATATACATTGGTTTTTATGCATTATAAGTAATTAGGCTTTAAACAAACTATATACGTTTCTTTATTATATAGGTTTCGATATTTTTTTTTTGAATATCACATTTATGCAATAGGTAATATATTATATTAGCTATATTATAAATTGTTTTTATACTTCTCTGTAACTGCCAGAATTAACTGAATTGGGTTGACCCTTCCGTCTCTTTTTGCGACCAAGATGATTTTTATTTTTCGTGCTGCATATTGTTTAACTATTCATAATAATATTAAAGTGATTAGGTAAAATTATTTACGTAATATACATATATTAAATCAATGTTAAAATATTTAAAAAAAAGTTTCCTTATGTGCTCTGTGTAATTGGGTTCAAGTACAAATATCTATTTTAGTATGTATATTCAGCGTGTGTAAATTTTTTCTTCTAAAGAAGGGACGATTAAATGATACGTTGTTTTACATTAACAGTAYCTGCTACAGTATTTTTCAAAATTAGTTTGTTTATAGAATTTTTTTCAATAGTCTTCACTAAATAGTTAATTTTAAAATGTTTAATTTTGTTATGTTTTTTTAAAAATATTTTTCTTATTTCATGTATGATTAACATTTATTAAATTAGATGACGCACGAGAAGATTAAACACCCTTTTTTTAACAATATTTTAACGTACCCGTTCTAATTATATCTGAATGACTCAGAAGTTAAATCTTCAATTGCATAATTTTTATAATTCTCTATTTTATTCTCTGATGAATAATRGTTATAATGAGTTATAAATCATAACATTTTGGTTGAAATTAGGTGGATACATACTACACAATATGCATAATATGAATTTAGCTATTCAATAATTTAATACCTATTGTTTAAATTTAATTAATAATAAATATAAAAATTAATATTTTATAATATAATCTCTATAATCATAATTATTTTTTATTCATCTTGAATCTTGAATTATATTCAAAAAATAAATTGTTCAATATTAATTAAATAATTAAAACTCCTTTTAAGATATGGATAGGCAATAAAGTATTCAGTATTGTGGTTAGGCCTTATAAAAAACCATATTGTTTCGTCACGAGCAAAATTGAAAATATAATATATGTGTTAGATTTAGTGTATAAGTCCATTTTTCATTGACGATAGCACTATTGAGTTCCACCCCGAAAATTGTTGACAATTGAATGATGTATTATAGTATTATAACTATACATAATAAAATGTGAAACAATAATAATAATAATAATAATAATACGTGAAAAATAATATAAAATGTAATAATTACCGTCAAYCGATGAGTTATKTTTTACAATTAATGGTTGTGTTAAAAACCAATGGTTTTGTTTAACCAAAAACGTTCGAATTGTAAACTGCAATTTCTTAGAATCGCGTTTATGTTTAAGATACCTTGGAGATTTTAAAGAATATGGATTTTTGTCATTCTAGCTTAAATTATATATGAAATGTGACGTTTCAAACTGGATGGCTTGTKKTTTGTTTGAATTTGAAATAATATCTGTTTTCTATATAGGTTCAAACAATACATCAACTACTATTAGTTACAATTATACTAAACCATTCATTTATGACACAAACTTTTACTCGTATTAAAGCGKTTATGTAAATAGTTATACATTTTATTTATCGACGAAATTTGCTATTGTGAGAAATTATTTTGAATGTAATAATTATATTATTATTTTTTTATATGATGTTTATAGGCAGCCATTCTTATTAGCTATTATGTGTCGTGCTAAATCTTGAAAACTGTATAATTTTTAATTTAATAAGACGCATGTTCTTAAATAGTATTATTACTATGTRTAGATAGCAATTTTTCAAACTAATAATTTCAACTAGGTTTTTCAAACAATTTTTAACATTTATTTAAAAATTATATATTTACAAATAATTATACATTATACATTAGTACAAAACAGTATACAACTAGGTATTTGGTATTTTTATACAGTAATAAAATAATAACTAAGCATACGAACAATATTTATTTTAGTTTAAATATGACCTATTAATACGCCGTAATTCATAATATATTATATTAATATAAGTAATAACATATTAACACAGTATAATAGTATATAGTACATTGGGAAACCATGTTTTAGATGGTTTTTTTTGTTAAATAAAGCATTTTAAATGCCAAAGCGATGTGATGAAGTAATCGAGCTCATGCGCACTTTGGTAGTTACAGCCCTTATGTACCTCTATATAGTCGATAGAAAAAATGCCAATATTTTGTACTTCGAAATAATAATAATATTTTCATTACTCATTTGTTCTTATATTAAACCGACTAACTTAATGCAATCATTGGCTCGTATAATTCTTTTTCACCCGCGTATATTTTTCTTTTAGCCTTAATTGTTTTATCGTTTTCGTTCTCCAAATGTTTGTTTAACTTCCTTTTCTTTTTCKATTTGATCTTTTCTTCACTGGACGGTAAATCCTCTATTGGGGCGTATACCATATGGTATTGTGAGAATGATGACTTGGTCGGAGCTGTGATGTCCGCGAAATCTCGGAACCCTGCAAAGAAGTCATCTGGATCACGGAATGCTGATGGTCTAGGATTTCCGGAAAACCTAAAAATAATTATTAACAAACATAGTTACAAATAGTAAATAAATATATAAAACTTAAATAGATTTTGACGAAAGTACTGGTAAAACTATATATATATATATATAGTTTTTAAAAAATCAGACTTTAGTATGTAGGAATCTATAGAGTATTAAATATTGGTTTTATTCTAATATGTATTTAGAAAAATACATCATATAAAGATATTTTTTAATCTTATGTTAATGACTAATGAAATACTAATTTAAAATACTATTTAGATATGCAAGACAATGATATTTCTGAAATATATATAATTTCGATTTAAAATTTGATCTACAAAACCGAAATATTTTTAAATATATTTATATCACTTTATTTAGAAATTTAATTTCTGTGTTTAAGCCTTTAAGGTAGCTTTCATCTCCCATGGGGTCTAGCGGGCTGCACCAAGTCATCAAGTTGCACGCTAAGCTATTGATTTAACCTATAGTATTAAACAAACGACTTTTGGCGTTCCGCATATTATATACGCGACTGGCACAGAAGGAGAAGAAGAAGAAGAAGAAAAAGAAGACGAAAGCGGAAATGACAGGCATATTATATACCTATTGCCATTTATTCGATGCCCCTGAACGTACCGGTGTGGTCGTCCATGGCTGTTGCCGTCGTACAGGTACGGATCGGATACGGACGCTGTCTCGCCGGCCGCGTAGTACGTGCCACCGGGGATGACACCGAAATTGCCGGAACCCAGCATGGCGTTCTCTTGGTTGGACGCCGCGGCCGTTTGCAGGTACGGTGTCAGCTCGGGCAGGTAGTCGGCCTCCTGGTACAGCCTGGGTGGGCGGGAGTGGTGRCCGAGTTGGCTGAATAGCGAACCGAACGCCGGCAAAAAATGTTGGGCATCCGCGGACGAGTCCCTCCGATCCTGAGTACGGGAACCGTACACCTTTTGTGTGTGCAATAATATTGTTATTAATTATTATATCATTATAAACGCTGTGAAAATGTTTCTGTTATTATGTCATACCGATTTTTCCRAGTTAATTTTCGAAAAGTAAAAGAATAYATTTTTTTTTTCATTAAAATATATATAGGTTAGTTACATATMGCTACTTCATTTTAGATTCTGAGCGGAGCGATATAACAAATCATATATGTAATRAAAAAAAAGCGTAATAAAATGGCAATGCTTCGCGTGTGTGAAGATATTATACCATTAGTTAATATTTTAATTTATTCTTAAAATATAATTTGAAAATATACTTACAGGAGTATTTTCTGGACTTACTCTCTTCAATCGAGCATTCATATGTGGTTCTGTAATTAAATATTGCAAAATATTAGTAAACATATATTATGTAACATAGTGATAATTGCATGTTGTTTCATACAGTAACCTATACACATAATTGTTGCATAATTAAATGAATATTATTTTTCATTTTACACATAATAAATTTTAAACTAGTCGTAATTAGTGGCATTATTTGGGGGTTGGCAGGGTAGGTATTTCGCCCACCCCTTGTCATTAGTGGGCCGCTATCAGGCCGTGTATATGAGCTGTTGTCGGACTAGTTTAAGGCCACAAGTCCATGATTCATGTCTTTGAGAAATAAAATTTATCCATTATTCGTGGTTCGCACGGGTACATAAATAATTAAAAGAGATCTATATATTAAGTATCTTAAAATGTATGTATATTAGATAAWAAAAGAATTAAAGTTTATGGCACGGTACTAGATAGTACATCTACAATTTGAACATTAAGATAAAATTATTTTAAAGGGTGAATTTTTTTTTAACTTTATTAAGGGCCAGTCAAAATGTTTACCCCTACATTCTAAAAACTGAAATGACACCACTGTTCATAATGATGTTTTTAATTTAATTATTAGCGTTGCACCTATAATAAAATGTAAAAATTATTGATAATTGCAAATGTAATAATTATTATAATAAAAAATAAAAAAWAATAATAATATATTATTATTTAAGATCATAGAACCGTTATTTTAGTTAGTTTATACAAAAAAAAAAACAAAAATRTATATAATATATAGGTACATTTGAAAATTTCTGTCATACATAAATTTCTTAATAATTATAAAGAAGTAGTCGTTTATATATGCGCATTTATTGTAAAGATAGCCTACTTTATAGAGTACTAATCTCGTATATACTTAATATACTTAAAATGCAGTAACAAATAAATAACTGTCATGGTCAAGTTTATCATGATACTGGGGCAAATAAGGTCTCAGTTAACAAATATTATTGTGGCTAAACAAAATTACTAATAATATTCTAATTGTGTTCCGACGATAAAATTATGGTAGGTTCTGAGTTGATTTCCGACGAAAAATTAGATATGTCAATAGTGTCCAGAAGAAAAAATCTACCAAAATATAAAACAATAGTTTCATTTAAACTTTGGCACAATACGTAATTATTATTTTGTTTAAAATAATTTATGTATTTAATATTTATTTTTTATTAGGATTGAGGCATCGACAGCAAGGATCATTAGTCTGTGGAACTGTGGGGGAAGGGAACTGCATTTRGTTTAAATACGTATATGTTTGGCAGAATTTCAAATGGACACCCGTAAGTTTCTGCCATGCCCGAGGAGAGGAGGAGTTCTGTTTCCAGACAGCGTGAACTGTCCGGAAAACGAGATGCTGCCCATGACCGAGAATTCTTCTGTGGTTAATTATTAGGGCTCGGATTTCAATGCAAAGTGCATATTATTCTGGTTGGTCTTAGAAAATGCTTTTTAAGTACATAATTCGTTTCATGTAACAAGTGTTTTAAAGCTAAAAATGTTATTTCGACATTTTTTGTATATTTCAGCTTTTTTCATTTTTAACATTATTAGGTTATTTTTGAAGTTTTTAATGCATATTTTTTCAATGTACTATACAAATTTAGCGTATTTATTAATGTATATTTTAGTAACTATATGTTTAGAATGAATAATATTGCCCCAAAACATATGTGTGTCAACATCATAGCAGCGTCAAGACAATTTTTCCAACTTCAGATTTTTAAAATAATTAATTGATAAAATAATAAATAATTTTATTTATGCACAAATTTCAAATTAAAGTATCAAATTGGATTTAAAAAAAATAATATAAATTACATTTTATGGACATTTTTGAGGTAAAATGGGCTATTTTTTAGAGCATATTTTGTATGATTTTAAACGCATTCAAGTCATTCAACCCTATTAATTATTAATTAGTTTATATGAATGGTAAAAAAAAATGTTGATATTTTAAAGATAAATGAAATATAAATCGTTGTTAAGATTCACAATTATTATTTTTGTTGCGTACCTTGCAATTCTTATAAGTACGGCCCTGCGCCTATATGTACATATCTGCTTGTAATAATATGTTAATAATTTTACTTTCACGTTTCACAATATACACCGGTGACAAGCATATACATGACATTACAATCATAATTAGGTAATAATAACAAACCTGTAATCTACATATTATTATTATTTATATTTATTTCGGTACTGTTGTGATCATCTGCTGCAGACGGCAATCGGATAACAATAACTGTTACGATCATATTTCTACATAGTTAGGTATAAGTCTATTATTACGATATATAATTGCGCAATATACATACGTATAATACTGCGCAAACTGTATAATATAATAATAATAATATGTATGTTTAGGTACAATGTGTAGCGGTTGGTGAAATTATATTCAAACACCGTGGCATAATGTGTCGACCAGAGTCATCAAGTCGTAAAAGGTCACTGTTATAAATCGGCGTAGGTTGGACGAACACGACGATTATACGAATATAATATAATACAATAACAATAATATAAAAAAAAAAATAAAAATATTTTATAGAGTCGTCGTCGTCGTCGTCGTCGCACGCGCGTCGCGCGTGGTAGGTATAACGCCACATAACGACTATAATATGTGACGTGAATCAACAATCCGCAGTTCCTTAGCGGCAATAGCCTGGAAGCGTTAGGTATATTAGTATATTACCTATACTGAAACAGAAGCGGAACATCGACTTTCACTCGTCGAGATTATAGCGAATAATTACCTACCATACAATATATCATAATAATAATATTATATTATAATGCGTGGTACCGAATGCCAATATAATAATATTTTACCGCGATTTGACGATTAACAACTGTACAAGGCCATTGCGCTGTAAAGACTAAAGACACATATTATTATAATTATTAGGTACCCGCGCGTTATATACCATATTACCATTAATAATTGCCAACCGATGTATACATAATATTATAATGTAGGTATATGATAATATTATTAAGCATAGAAAAATCCAAAACGAATGATCTATCCATAAAACATCGTTGTCCAAAATGAAAAACTACCGGATGTGCGCGAATAATAATCTATTGCACGGTGTATAATATAATTAGGCAGGAGTATATTTATTTCCTTTCAAAACATTTTCATATTGGAAATATTGTGCTGTGTTTCGGTAACAATTTTGTCATCATCGCCGGAGCTGAACAGAAAGATTTCAACAATGACGGCAATCCGCATCACAGATAATAAGAATGTTCTATAATTATGATATAATATATGTATGTATACTGTAGGTACATGACTCTAAGTGTACCTATATTATATAGGTACTGTGTATAGGTATGTAATAATTTATAGTATAATGAAAACATCTTCATTGTCGMCGAAATGGGTAAACATCTCACGTCTGATTAATATTTTGGTTTTAAGTTTTTATATGAATTTATTTACCTCACATGGTTATAATACCATCTAACTTAATATAACATTTTTTTTAATTATTTGATGATAACAATACATTACATTGTTTTATTTTATTAATAGCTTCATAATTTTTTTTTTGAATCGAAAATGATTCATTCTAAGCCTTATAGGTACCTACAATTTTGTTGTTTTAGTTATCAGATATCAGTAATGGCTGGAGTAAATACATATTTAACATAATTTATTATACTTTTACTAAATATAGAAATAAATAAACTATTTATATGAATAAAATAATTTATCTATAATCAATATTTTTATTTATGTATATAAATACACATTGTTTATATTAAATCTTTTTATTTATCTATTTTTTTTTAATAATTAATATCACATTTTGTATACTCCTAACTGGCTAACTAAATAACATATACATATAGATACCTATAACTAAAAAAATGTAATAAAAGTTACATGTCTAAAAGAACATTCCTATATAGTATACATATAGTTACCGTCTACAGTCTACATAAAATAATAGAACTGAAAAATGACGATTGTGTAAAATATAATATGGTTTGATTTAAAAAACCAAACAACATATAATATATTTTAGAAACGTAAATGAATGCTAAGTAACACTGTTATAATTGTTCTGTTTGCATTATGTTGAGATTTAAAAAAAACCGTTCTCTATCAAAACGACTATAGWGACTACTACAGCAGTACCCAGCTGTTACGAAGCAGCATGCTTAGTGTATAGATACTACGTAGGTACTATATAAGGCATATGACCATGCATCTATATGTCTAAGCATATTATTATTTTTAGCATCCCGCTGTTAATTACATAGACAATGTATTTTTAGTGTTTTTACTCGCGTAATACCTTTACAAACCTACCATATATTCATATTAATAGTATGTATATAGTATATACAATACTGCTTCCAATGTAGTGTATTTATACTATTTACTATTTACTATTTAGGAACCTATATATACCTACTCATGTTGTCTTTTGGGCACCACCAAATATAATATAATATATAATATACGTATGGCGTATGCATTACACTCGTATCATATATACCGGTTGACCTAGACAGTAGACATGCGTGTGTATACAATATATAATAATATAATATTATTATATGTCATTTCTATATCAAACGGAACGTTCTCATACATACCGCGCGATGTGTGACTTATTACATAAATAGTTATATATACCATATATACATATTATCGTTAATTTTTGTTATCTGCAAACACCATACAATTTTCTATTACATTAAAAACTGCAGATAATACTATAATGTATATTATTGTGTACCTATATATATATATATATATATATGGCTGTAGGTACCCATGGCAGCGGTGACTTTCGTTAAGCAACTGTCGCGGGTTTTGATCCGGTCAATATAATATATAACAAATAACAATGCAACCGTTATCGATGGTGTCGTAACGTCAAATTAAACGCTGTATACGGTCCCGGGTGTTTAAAAAAATGTACACAAACGTTTTAAAACATATACCTACCTACAAGTGGTTTCATTTGCGAACATGTTAATGTAAAATAAATGTAATTATAACATTATTACTTATTAGGTACCTATATACATACGGAGTGATTCACCAAACATGATAACTATCATATTTTCTTTTGATTATGAATTTATTCAAATTTTGATCTTTGGAATTTGAAAACATTCTCAAAGACCATATTTTCAAATAATTTTTTTATACCATTTAAATAAAGTCTTGTGGCGATACAAGCTTTTAGTTTTCAAATAAAACCTTTATATTTTAAATGACATGGAATTATTGATGTATACCTTTATCTAAATAAAAATTGTAAAGAATAATTAAAAGTCGAGTTATTAAATTATATGTATTAAAGCTTATTTAAGGTAGTACTACTAATACTGTTTATAACGACAAATGCCCATGATAATATAGGTTTAATAAATATGAATAYACAACTAGAATATTATTTAAAAAATATGATGGTTCAATAATATCGTTATATGAASAATTTACAATTCTTAAAATCGCCCGAGCTGTATAATAGTGCATAAAATACTTATTCTTACTCCTTTTTAATATATTTTTATCGAGGATTATCACCCGTACAATGTTATGGTTCAGAAACTACTCGTTCGAATTTTGATTTTGCAAGACTCGACTGTTGATCAGGCTTGGCGAATCACATTGTATAATATACACATTGCTGCTAAAGGCGATGGATCGAACTAAATTGTAAGCATCTACTATTATAGAGTGAAAAAACCACATGGAATACAAAATAAACTATTATATTAAAATATTAAAACATTTAAAACACGTTATTGACACACGGTAGGAAGGTTTATACCAGTATGCCACTTATATACCACTTATACACTATCACACTGATGATAGATATACTGCAACACCAGCTATATATTGTATTTTTTGATTACACGTGTACCTAATACACTGCCACAGTTGAAATTTGTTACACACTAATGTTTATAGCTTGACAAATGGGTTAAGCGATTTTTTGTTCAGCCTTATCGGTTTTTATTTTCAACAATAACACAATAAGTTCTTTGAATGTTGTACACTGGTACTACAATACGTAGRTACCTAAACAATACTCGTGAACACTCGTACCTACTATTTATTAATTTCAGCAATTATTGTTATGGTAATATTCAGAAACATAATATTATAATGTGCTATATTTTTTTTTCTTTCAAAATTATTAATTGCACACAAAATAACAATTTGCTATGCGTTGTCGCCACTTAAATAATATAATAGTCTCCAAACTATTATTATATAGTAAGTATCGTGATATAAATATTCATGGGAAAAAATAACATTGAAGTTTGAAAACAGTATACATGACAATATATTTTAACTGTATAGTTTTCTGACGCTAATTTTCCCATTAAAAACCGAACAAGGCAACATTTCGGAAAAATGTAAATTTGCATAGCCACTTAAAATCTCAATATCTAAAATATTATAGTCTTCAATGCAACACGAAATATTGTTCTCAAAGTTCCAACCGAGGACTAACAAGAAATTATATTCTCACGGTTACCCGGTGACCCTGCCCGTCTGCTTTGTCTAAATTACTGATCATGTCTGGATCATGATGGTATATAATGGAATACGGTAATGTTAATATTACAAAATACCATTATTGTTCTTATAGTAATGTATCTGTAGGTAATCATAATAGGTACGCTGTTGTGATTATTACTCGAATTACATTAGATATTATACTAAAATARTAAAATGGTTTAATTATGTTGATTTTCGTAGTATTTACATAAATAGACCTAACGTTTCTACTGCAGAGCATTCGTTTTATTATACATCGATTACAGATTACATAATTGTATACAAAAACGATGGTTAGGTACTTGGACTTGTAAAAAAAAAAAAAAAGAATGTAAGTGTTAACAAAGTGTGACAATTGGCCCAATAACCTAGGCTGTCGAATGAAATTGTGTCGGCTAGTGTTTAATATCCATGACATTTTGCTCCGTTGAGTATATAGTCTTATTAAATACATACATACATAACCACTATAATACGTCGACCACCGCTATTTAGCAACTATTGCAAATCTAACAAAAAAATCTTTTAGATTACATTGCATAATAACAAAACGGCTGGAAAAACTTATGCAGAATGTATATGTAAATAAAGCATCTGTTTATAGAGTAATCCAATCTATTAGACTAAATTTAAATTAACTGGTTTTTTAAGTCAGTAAAAACACACATTTAATATGCATAGTAAAATAATTAAGAGCTGAGAACGTTCATATTTGAATAAAATAATATCAGTAAAATTCCAAAATATCATTATTATTTATAAGTAGGTACCTAACCTAATCAATATTCAATGTCGTTTAGTTACTATAAAAATTTAATCATAATAATAATATTATAATTATTATAAACATAAAAACTGTTTTTTTTTAGTACACAACTATATTATATTGTATATATTATTTCAGACCCTATTCTTTAACTTTAATTCATATAGGCACACATATATATAACATATTTTAAATACGTATGGAATTTCGGGAAGGTTAACCAAAAAACTTTTTACTGATTTTAGCAATAACTACATTTGAATTGAAAATTATCATCAAAAAATCATAATACTTTCATTTGCTAAAGATTACTGGAAAAAATCTGCTTCATGAACACCAAATTAATTCATGGACAATAAATTTACGTAACACAGTTATAATGATTTTTCTATCCATGAGAATTACAAGAGAATTACAAAATTAAAATTAAATTTTCGTATAAAGAATAGTCAACGAAGGACATCCATAATATTGTTGAAATATCATCAGAAGAATGAAGATGACGTCTTTTGATGATCTAAAAACAATACAAATAGCACAAGGTAAGTCTATTTACTCTATTTGTAAGACTGCCTTAAAAGCAAACAAATGATGGGTATATATGTTGTGGACTTTAGTTAAAACAAATTTATTACCTACCTACCATATTATATCTAGAAAGGAAAAAGTAAATATAATTTTGGCGTACATTAYATTATATTTATAGTTCAAAAATTAKTTTTTTTCATCAAAATTTTCTATTTAATGAAATGATTGTAATAACACAATAATAGATAGCTATGTTTTACTATATTGAAAATGGTGCAGTTTTATTAAACTTGTTCGGTAATGCCATTGATTTTTATTTTTATTTCAAATACCTAGTTATAATACGTATTATATTACGTATACGTATTAGATTATATTATTATATTTTTAAATTTCTTTTCGTCTTTAACACTACGTCCCTACAGTAAAATATTTGAAACGTTCCGTCTTTTAACGACTCAATCCGAGAGACCTTTGACCGTGGAGACGTCTTGAACGGAAGAATTCGTAACCTTGGTAAACGTACTTTCACTATACCAAATATCGAGTTTATAGATATATACCCTGCAATACACTCTATCTCAAAATTCTCAAACTTTCTCTTCCAACACGTTTTGGTATTTATTACTATTACATTTTTTTTTCACTTAGAAACAAACAGTTCGACAAGTTACATGAGTGCAGGTCAAAGCAGATGTGCCCAACTTTCACCGTCAACTGCAGCTCAACTAACTGGTTGTTTGCGTAATGCACCCATAGTACCGGAAATCRCACCACATCCCTAAATCGTTCAGGCACATGTAATAACAATGGATCGTTGCCAAGTTCAATATTGTACGATTTGTTGGTCATCCCATAAAAGTAAAATTGTTGTTATGGTTTATGAAGTTCGTGACTATATATGATAATGTCAATCATTAGAATAMAATTATTGTTTTCATTCTTTGCAATGATTAAAACTTGATCGATAACATTGTCACTTGTTCATCGATCTCTGCATGTATCGATAAAAGTG